AGCATTCTACTATATACTCTAGGCCTCTGGATTAATAATCAACTGCAAAACAATAAAGAGCTATTAAAGTTCACGGCATGAATAATTCTTTTGGAATTACAATTCTGTTTTAGTTACAAAACATTACATTCGGCACCTGAACAAATCCAACTAGTCGTTTGATTACAACACCACCGCAACTTATCAAACTTTCTCTGTAAATTAAACCATGAAGATCGTAAATGTTGCAGATGATTCACAAGCATTCACCACAAAAGTATTTATACAACAACAATACGAGTACATACAACTACGACGACACGATAAGATATACGATGTAATGTAGAACGCGAAATCTTGAGCGTATAATCAGCTTCAGTTACAAAATTAACATAGAAACAACATGAAAGTTCACTATATCAATTGAAAAATTGTCTAATTTCATTCATTGACAATATAATAGAAACGATTTTAGTTGTTAGAAATGAGAACTAACAAACCCATTGCTAGCAATATGCCCTAATCAGAACAACATTTACACTATTCCCCCCAGAAACTATCGTGATTAATTATTATCGAATTCGTCACCATGTAAACATGACGTCTCGCCAGCGTATACCGATAGCGCAGGCAGGATTACCATTAAGCGTATAGCAACGCATTTGTGATACTATGTGCCTCATAAATCCGCCAGTGTATTGTGTGACATCCGTGGTACAGATCATGTCTAGAGACGGCGGTTACTATTTATCACCATGATGGGGCTTTGCTATTCTTGAATTGTTTAAAAAAATTCAAACAATTTAGAATCTCCTCTTATTAGATGTCGCTTAAAAAAAAAACTAAAACTCGACGTACAATCTATGTCAATAATGACATAATCAATGCCGTCACTCTTTGCTATATAAAAACTCAAGGGCGAGTTGTAAAACTAAACACCATAGGGAAAATTCATGGTCAATAACAACAAACACATGCCGGTCCTCGCATGTTTTCATAATATGTCTCATAAACATAATACGATTGAGTTTATTCACTTTGACCTTGGCGTAACACTCCAGTTTGTTGTAAATTGATAATTAAATGCAGTTGTATTTTAACAGTTATTAGTTATTCGCATGTATATAACAAACGAATAACTAATAACATAACTTTATTAATAGATTAAAATATCATTATTTTTGTTTTTTTTTTTTTTTTTCATTAACATTTTACATTTATTACAAACAGAACAAATAAAGAGAAAAGAATACAAATAATTGGCAGAACAAAAGGCGGTCTTATCGCTAATGCAATCACTGCCAGACAATCTTCGGGAGGGGAAAAGAAATTCCAAAATAAGTGGCGCATTAGAAAAATAAAACAAAATGAAATTTCAAATGACATCACGATATACGTACACAAAAGATATTAAACTAAATTAAAAACTGACATCGCTTTTACTGACTCAACAAAATTCGATAAAGGCAAAACAATTTAATTTAAAAAACATTGCTTTTGATCGTGGGTTGAAATCCTTACTCATATTATAAATGTGAAAGTGAGTTTGTTTATTACCTTATAGCGCCTTAACGGTTTGACCAATTACAATGAAATTTGCTATACACGTGCTATAGATATAGGGATGAAGAAGGATAAATCACACGTATGAAGTCGTGACTAAAATCTAGTAATATATAAGAACGTGAAATCTAATTGTATTGAGAAATAATAAAAGTCCTATATGTAATGTAGTCGATGACGACATTCCGAGCATAAACTGGCACCTGGTCAAAGAGGCTTTCGTTAATGAAACCACAACAGTCACCGTACTAAATTGTACCAGAACAAACGTATGCGACAACAAAAGTGGGACGGTATCATAAAACATGGTTGTCACGTTCATTTGCTAATTGAGCCCTACGTTTCCCCTTCACGGTAGAACGAGTGACACCTACGCACATTTGTATTTATAAAAAATGTTTAGTAAATTATTTTTTTAATTGATAACGTTGAATTTACGTTGCAAACAAAAAAAAATCGACAGCATCGCGGTTGTTTTATAGACAACCACAAACCATTCCGGTACCGGGCCGAAAAATATATAGGTTAATTAACAATACCAGGAAGGTATTGTTTTTCCGCTACGCAATGAATAAAGATATAAGTACAATGAAATTAAATAAACTTACTTATTAATTAAATTTAGTTCACACGTAATGAAGTAGATGCATATTATGCAGTACATTGCACGCGTTTTGCAATACATGCATAACAACGATATTCGAAAGTGTGTCAAGATTGCAATAGCAACTTGCACTCAACACGATGTGATGCACAAAGCGGGAAATGCAACGCATCAAAACCATTACGCTAAGTAGGTCTCCCGCATATATGGATCGAATAGAACTAGTTGTCTTCCCGAAGGTATAACTTAAAATTTGGTATATATTTTATTTTGATACGCCATCTAAAGTTATTTATATCATTGGTTTTCCTTGTCTTGAAATCTATGCATATGCAGTAGAGAGCAAAAATCTGTAATAATATAATGCAGTGACTGAAATACTTTCAGTCCAAAGTGCAAGTAGGTGGACTAATAGTCCAATATGATGCAATGCAAACAATTTGCAATTTACAGCAATTTATTGCTCCAAATCCATCAGAGACGGCTCTCATAGTTACGATGCAAAATATAAACCGACTTACAATCACCACAAAAACCGACCGCATACAAAGCGTGTGTTAATAAAATTTAATGTACTATAAATCAACGTATAGGACAATAAAAATGCAAATATCGATCATAACCGACGAGACATTATTGTCTATCCTGGCGGGATGCCACCCATACTATTCACGTTTTTGAATGTGCTGAACATCCATTGCTGGTTTCATTGTATTTTACTATCCGACGTCCGAAGTCACAACATGGTAGATCATAGGGGATTAAAAGGAACAATTACGAACAGTAAATTCACTAAAACAAAACTCAAATACCGAGGTCACATTTCCGCTCTATCTATTATAGATACGTGAGAAATAATCTAATATTCGAATCAAGATGCTATTGTTTCCAAATTCGTACATACAGCCCACACACCTTTTACTCATCATGTCAGGTAAGAATAGCAAAGAGCGAATGATTAATGACCCGTGTGTTGTCAATCTCTCTGAGATACTGATTACGTGGGAAATGAGAAATAATTTTAAGAAAAAAATATAATCAACGCACTTGTAATTAAAAAGAGTTAACAATTTAATAAGTTATATCAGTTAGGACAATTACACTAACATTTATCATACTGGTAATCGTCTTTGAAGTACTCATTTGCTTTGTGTAATCTACTTACTTAATGCACCTTAGATTGCTTTTTAAAATTATTTTAAAATGCGTGTAGTATTCTCGTTCATTTCAAAAGATAAACAAGAAAAGGTACCTAATACAGAACTTTAGATTTAAACTATACCGAACAGTTAGTTGAGTAAAGTTTCCATCTCAAAATATAATTAGATAAAATTCATTATATCATAAAACTAATGGAATTAACATTTTTTTTTTATATATTACATATATTGATACCGGTATATTTACGCAGTAGCTACCAGTTCTATCTGTTTATTAACTTAATTTTATTGTTTTACTGTAGAGGAAAAATAAAGATTAGAAATCTACTTTAACTATCACAGTGTTTTGTCACAATTTTTAAATAGCGAAAGACAAAACAGTTCAATATCTAAAATAGATTTATGAGAGGTTTGACGTTTATGAATAAGGCAATAAGTATCCAACCATAATTCTAATGAGCTCCCCTCTCAAGCATTGTACATATTTAATAACAAAATGCAACATGTAATGCAATAAGTATGTCATAGTGATATTAGTTAATATCAGACTTTGTTGTATTACATCGTGAATATAATAAACCGGTTTCTAGTATATTCATATTCTGACTCCAAACACTTCGTGCCGGACGTCGCTACGCGGTAGTGCAGCACGCAAACGAAATTACACGAACGGGTGAATGTTCTTTTGTAACCATGTTACAAATATCGTGACATTCAAGTGATATTACGCAAGCGGCTTCATTTAATTTAAATCTGAACCGTAATCAAATCGGTTTCAATAACGCCTTTATGGGTGAATTGCTTGTGACTCGAAAGCGAAATCCTATACCGCTAAGTCACGACTTTATCAAAACCTATTACCTAGACCTTGAAATAATACCACCTTATATATACAATTACTAAAGAGACAACATCAATTCTGTAAAATAAGCAGTAACTATTTGCGTATTTCGTAATGGTAGTGATTTATTACAACAAAGTGGCAAACACGAAAACAGTTGGCAACTTAGATTTATTAATAATATACGAGAATACAGGCAGGATGAAATAGGAATCTGTATTAGAAGGTAAAACTAAAAATCTACCCATACTATAAAACATATTAGGACAGAAATATCGTGAATGAAAAATTTAAAAATGAAAAAAATATCGAGACCCCATACTACCTCAATAAATAAACGCGCCATAATAGTATGAGAGGCTCAAAATTAATTGTCGTATGTAGACATTGTTTCTTTGATGAAAACATCTACCTCTGCTGATAGAACACACCATTCTTATGCAATTCCTCGATAATGATATCGATTTCACCTACATATATATTGTTTGCACTGCAGCAATAGAAATAGTTTAATTTTGCAACACAGGATACTCTTCTGAACAAAATGTACCTCTTAATAATATCCATTAAGGATAATCCTTTTCCATTTCAAAGGCTCAGCAGCAGATAAACAGACCAAGGCCCCATTCGTCGGACAATGATTGATGCCGTATACCCGGAGCGCGACAGACACGATAAAGCTTCGTAAACCTCATACAGTGATGTAAGTTAATACGATAATACAAAACACACATTGGATTTTCGCCATGAAGACAGGGATTATTAACATGCGCACGTATATGGGACTCCAGCAGCGGACTATATTTGTATATGTTACTTATATAATTTTATTTAAGTCTATTTAAAAACTTACCTTCAAGTAGGATCCAAAATATTTGGTGACATATGGACTATCGCACTGCGATAGCACCATAATCTCCTGTTGAATGTCCTCGATTTCATCTTCAGCTTCCTCGAGGTCTATAATCTTTATGGCGACCACTTGCTGTGTCCTATTGTCGACACCTTTGAACACTTCACCGAAGGAACCCTTGCCGATCTTCTCCTGTTTCGTGAAGATCAGCTCAGGGTCGACCTTCTGTGGAGAAAGAAAAAATATTGTTTATTAACCAAATATAACATAATAATACTGTGCGGTTTTTCAAAAACTCTGATAGAAAAAAGTGTTTAATTAAAAATGTATAACTTAGAAACTTGTACTTTAGGGAATATAAAAAAATTGTGTTGTCATACTACTTACATTAAATATAATAAATATATACTCGATTCAACTAAAAGACAGGATCTACTCGTATTTGAAACATTATGAGTAACAAAATTGAGATTTCATTTACTCAATAATATATTTAAAGAGCTTATTTATACGCAAATATGATGTTCAAAGCGTTGATTGATTATTCATGGAATGTCATTAAATATTCATACACACGGTTCGGGTAAGATAAAGAATTGCCATCTTATATTTTAGAATTTTTTTACTATTATTATTGCATTTTATTTACTATAAATAACCTTGTACCTCACGTATTATAGAAATATCTCAAGAACAATATACAAATAAGCAGGTTTCTTTTAATGGTCGCATTTCGAAGAATTTCATCATAGAACATTATTACAAAGTTCCTAAAGTAAGAATAGTGTTATTCTTCTACACAGCTGGACAAACATTATTTTACACCGCTTGCGTAAGTTACATATTATTATTTTAAATTCTTTATCATAACCTTAAACGCCATAGTATCCTTAAGTATACCCATATCATAATTCGCCTGTATATTTCTTTTATATGATACTGCACATTTTCAATTCTAAACTGAATAATTCTTTTTTTATTCGACTGGATTAATTATTGGGCACATATTTATTTTATTACGAAGTCGTTAAAATTTGCGAAACAAAATCTACTTATATAAATATCATATTCAAAATAAAGAAGTAACAAAAAATTAACAAAAAGTGGGTAGTTTGAATATTTTAACTTTTTTTATTTTGTTCTGCAAAGAAAAGTGTACCATGAACTTCAGGCATGATATTACTATATTCAAATATAAGTGAAACTTGGACATAAGGGAAAATAGTCCTTGAAAATGTTAATAAATAAAGATAAAAGTTTATTGAAAAGTTTATTTAGGAACATATGGAACGTTAATATTCTACGAACAGATTGTCTGCCTATGATATGAAGGTTAAATCTCTAGATGTATTTTATGCTTATATTAAAAATAAACTAAAAAAATAAGATTTAAAAATAAAAGTTTTTATTTCTTGTTGGTAATGTTTCTTAGTGTTTTTGCCAAAGTTTTGGATACATTTTTGAGATGTTTTATGCTTATATTAAAAATAAACTAGGGAAGTCTAATAGAGTTATTTTGAGGAATTTGTGAATGTGCCCACAATCTTACTATATCTTGCTCTACTATGTACACTTAGCAATGAAAAATATTCACTGGTCTGATTGTTAGTGTCCTAATGTTAGACTTAAGTAATAATACTGCATTGCTAGACCTTATAGCTAAACATTATTTTACATATACTTAATTGTAATTCAAAAGAAACAATATATTGAACTGTTTCAGCAACATTTTCCCTTTCTGCAGTAAATTGAATATAAAATTTATTTTAATCATGTAGTAAGTGCTTAATCAACATAACATAAAAGAAAAGATAACCAAGTTTATCTATTTACTTTCCCAGAAATTTAAGCCACTTTACTGGCCAGCATGAATAGGTACATGAGCAGTAACCTCCAATATGATTGGGACGAATATATCAAACATGTAAAGAAAGAAATTTCCATAGCCAATATACGAATATATCTATTACATTTTTATTTTAGTACAGTAAAGTCTCGTTTATCCGAAATGATCGGGACGGCGGCCAATTCGGATAACGAAAATTCCGAATAAACCGAAATCCATTTATCATTAAACTTAAAATTACTATTCCCTAAATAATGTGATATTTTGGGTCTCCTATGCTAACTTGACAGTTGGTCGCGTTGTGACGGTACAGAAGGTTTAAAACTTTTTATCTTTTGAAAGGAAGGAAAATGATTTTCAACCTATTTTCCTTTTGGAAAAATATTCAATTTCACTTCTTTAAAGGATATTAACGATATCAATTTTACTTATATAATATCATACATAATACAACAATATGTGATTGTTCTACAAAAGTCTAATCACTTGTCAAACCAATTATTAGTTACTTTCTAAACTCGCCGTAAATCGCTACTCAGCGTGTTATGGACAAGTTCCTCGTGTTATTTTCGAGGTATAATTACTTACTTAATTATATACTTCAGCTCAAACTGAAAGAACATTATGGGTGATACAACAAAAACTTACTATTTCAAAACAATTCCATTTAAGGAATATATTCCGTAAATACGATATTTAATACACGTGTCTAGTCTATCTGAGGAATTTTATCAGTTCTACTAAAAGTAGTTTGATAAATAGGATTAAGCCAAGAATAGTAAAAATATGAAGGTATATAAAAACAACAATAAAATGTAACCTACTACTCAATTACTATAATTGCTTACTACTTTTTTTTATTAGTCTTATGCAGTAAACATAAATTACTTAATGTATAATAATAATATCTAAGTATAATAAAGTTAAATAAATCTCAAAGTACGTATTTTGACATTCAAACTATTTTTATCAAAACCGGCGAAGACACTATATAAGTAAAAATCCAAATTGTCATTTTTTAACGCTTAACCACCTTTAACCCTTTCATCGAAAAAATAATTACATGTTTTCGTGACGGCTGATAAAGTATTTCACGTCAGCACGTACTATTTATTTACATTTTGACTAAACAATTAATTATGTACTAATTAAGATTTTCCAGTTAAATAAGATTACTCAAAGTGTAGTTAAAGGAACACTTTTTAGGTATGAAAAACCGGTAAAGATAAAAACATTCGTACCGTAGAAAGGTTAATAGTTCCGTAGTTTTTCTACGTATTAAGTCATAGCTACACAACAAGGAAATATCGTATCATATCGGTACTGGTACGTGAAGAATCCACGACCTCTGCCATTTGCCAGACATTGCGCCAAGTGTCAAGGTTCCGCACGAGCGAGATGCAGCTGAACGCTTTGTTACGTGATATATTTACTTAAACATCCTAGTTAGTACAGTATGTATATACATGCAGTATATATAATATCAGTGATAGAAAGTCAACAAGATCATTTAGATCTTACTGAATACGATGATTTATTTTGGTACGAGTTTCAGACTCATTATACTAATATAGTAAAATTGTAATTAAGCAATGTCTTTACATAGATAAGACCGATAAACGACAAAATAATAATTTTAAAAAATTTCTCTGTCTGACTGTCTATATATTTGAAACAGCATTACACAAAAACTATTGCACCAAATTGGATGCGACTCACAATTGTATTTATGAGGATCTAACTTAAAATCTGACGGACGTTACAAACGTGATACATCATCTAGAAATAGTTTATTCTGTGATTTTTTCTACTTCTGAAATTTAGGTGTGTCAAGTAGCAGGCAAAAACTAGTAGAACATAAAATATAAAGCATTATTTCCGCAAATACGAAACAAGGCTTTTAATTTCTAACAGTTTTTTCGCCTAAACTAATAAATTTATGCATATCAATTTTATTTTAATTTATATATATATATATATATATATATATATATATATATATATATATATATATATATATATATATATATATATATATATATATATATTTCTCATGTATATTCTTAATGTTTACTTATTAAAATGATTTTAATATTTTTTTTTTTTTATTTAAGAGTATCCTCTTGCCGGGGCAATTAATTCATGCACCTTCTTCCAGCCAGCTCTATTCCAGGCCATATCGTTGGCCTCTCTATACGACATGACACATAGTGTTTCCTTTATGTTCCAAGTAGATATTTTTTGGTTTTCCCCATCCACTTATGTTTTTTTGTAATTTAATTGTAATTTATAATAACTTGTAAAAAGATCTATAAGCAAAATAGTTTATCCTAAAAAAGAACAAACATACCGTTTAGTAATTAATCTAAAACCCCTATTCTATTCTTCTTTAATAATTGAATTTTAAATAGTGTCTTATTGTCATAAAAAAATTATAATAGATTGGTGTTTATTGAAATTTTATCAATGTTGTTATCACTCGATAACATATTATGAATAAAGTACAATGTAAATGATTCGAACTTCCGCAAAAATATATTGAATACCTAGTAATACCGCGATCAGTTATCGACCGAATGGAGCTTTACAAAGTTTTTCCGGTCGAACGAAACCAAAAAACCTTATAACTGCAGATATTTATTTTATAGCTGTTTTATTTCCTTGAAATAGAAGTATCGTATAACAGAGCCATTAAATGTACGTGATTGTAGATACGATCGGTAACAAATATCGATATAAATTGTAAGACAGAAGCAACTAGACGTTTTAATTGCGCTTCAGACCAGAAAGAACACGATTCTAAAACTAACATGATATTAATTAAATTTATATTAAATTAAATCTTAAGATTTGATTTGATTGAATTATTAGAATAGATTAAGGCAAATAATCAAGTTTATATAAGTCGATTAAAAAAGAAATGACGATTACTTTAATGGTGACAATTTTAATAACTAACTAATCATCTCACAAAAAATATTTTAAAATACATTAATGCACAGATGGGCAGTGAAATATTTCATAGATACATTAGATTTAAACTATAATTACTACATTAATCCTAACAAAACTAATATGACATTAACACGTGAAGAAACTTTATCGAAAAAAAAACAATTGAAAATCGCATCGATTCAGATTTAGTGAATACATCGCGCACAAAAAAAGTTGCAAACAAATTAAAACCCTCCATTTTGAAGTGACTTGAAAATATATTTTATATTTTAACACATTGGTGTTAAAATATAAAATATAAAATTTTCGAGAGCATTGGTTCTTTTGACAGTTCAGAAAATTTTAGAAGTATGGAAAAATAGATTTCAGCGAAAGCACCACAGTTTTCAGAATACGATAAGTTGAGCACGTGGCCCGTTTTATC